TTCTTTCTACAGTTTCAGAATTTCACGTACCAAGGCACTGAATTTTCATATGGGGTCATCGGAATGCCTGATAGTTTACTGTGGCTGCAGACAATCTGTAACTTAACTAGTTGTGGTGGAGCAGGCCGCAGCGCCAAGTTCCAACTGTTCAGGTTCCGTTTGCGCATGTCGCAAATTTAAACATCATGGGTTTGTCCCTTGGGTACATTATTCGCATGTTGCTTTTAGTGTCGTCGCGTGGTCGCAGAAACAGGAACGGCTACAACAGCTAGCGTGGGTGGAATAAAATGATGTTCCGATCACCCGATAGCAGTTCAGCTGCAAATGCCGCCGTCGAAGAGCGGCAGCACGAAACCCGGCATTTAGAACACAACCTCAATTGCTATCTGCTGCCAGTGCATAATCACACCCGTAACAACAGAGCTCTTCTTCCGACACCCAAGTGTACCGCAAGGTTCAGTGCAGCTCTTTTTTGCGGGAGTCTCAGAAGACCGTGACTTTGTTCCATGCTGGAGTGGAAGGTCTTCCGGGTCCTCCGTTTGACTTCCTAAGTATGTGGCCAGCAAGACAGGTTATGAACATCGTTGTCGGGGCTACTAGTAGCATAGGAGATGCTAAGTAGACATTACGATCATTGCAAGTTGGAGGAATGGGCTTTCGGGAGGTGGGACGTTGGTGTATCTGTGTGCCTTTCGTAAAGATTGAAGTGGCTCACCCCCATAAGCCCTATATCCTAAACCTGACCCGCGGACATCTCTTATATTGATGCGGCAACCAAACAAAGAACGACAGTGGAGACCTTAGGTACTGTGTTCTCAAAGCCTAAACGCTAGCTTTTGGACGCCTAAAGCCCGACAGGGCTCACAACCGCCGGGGGACTCTAACGTTTCTGTAAGGATGTGAGACTAATCGGGCTTTTAGGATGTACGGCCTGGTACTTGGAGGTTCAGGGGACTTAGTAAGTGAGTTAGAAGTAGAGTTATAAGTACCCTAAATGGAGTTTCCCTTATTATAACCCTACGTATAACCGACTTACTAAGTCCCCTGAGCCTCCAAGTAGGGGTTCAGGATGGATGGGGATGTGGATCTTAGAGCTTGCGTGCTGTTGGGGTTTGTCGCTGGGCTGTGACTGTACTCCTGCCAGGATTGGCGGATTAGCGGATTTGAGTTTGGGCTCTGTGAGAGAATGTTACGCTAGGCTTGTACTTCGGTTGTCGATTGCCTTCCCTAAACCCTAAACCCTTTAAAACACCTTATTCCCCCTTTAATGACAGGTTGGAGATTCTCTGCTGCGCCCTAAACCCTTCATCCCAGGCTTGGTTGCATGTATCCTACCTATAGTCTCCAGTGTAGCTCCTTCTTTTGGTGAGCCGTGCTTCTGTTAGAGGCTTCAAACCACAAAACTGAGCCTCCCAGGAAAGGGACTACATTGGAGACTATACAGGTATATCTCCTTAAGCCCGGATCCCCGGAATCCCCAGATGCAAAACCCATCAAGCTCCAGGCTTTGTTCGCCTCCGAGTTTGTGTAATTGGGTTTAGGGTTTCAGCATGTCCATTTCGGGTGTGGTTTTGGGGTTTAAGAGTTTTAAGGTTTATGGCTAGGATTTTGCCTCGGATTTGTGTGACCAAGGGGGGGTTCGTTTTTGAATAGTCGCAGGCACGCTCAGCTTGCTGCAGGCACATATCCATTGATGCTGCAGCCTGTGTCAAAGTTGGTGGAGGAGCCATTCTTCCGGCACCCCTTAAATGCAACACCAATACCCGAGAACCGTTTTGGGCAAGCGCCCTAACCCCAAATGAACCCCGAAAGAACAGCATGAGTTCTGTTTCTCAGGCCGGAGTTGTTCGTGCCTTTTTTTTCACCACTTGTTCGAATCCCTATGCAGTTATACTATAGCATCACAACTTCCCAAACCCCATTCGAACTAGAATCCCTTGACCGGAGTATGAAGATTTCAGCAGCCTCGATCCCAGAATTCAGAACCTAATCCCATAACTTTGAGCAACCAATCCATATGAATGTCGATACCCGGCCTAAATGCTCAAGACCCGAAACCGTATAAATCGACATGTAGTAAGTGTCCAGATTGTGTTTAAGGGTGCTGCTTTCCCCCCTGTCGTCTTGACATGAAATGGCCGCTTCCCTTTCCCTGCAAGTGTCCAAGTGTCTATATCAGTGGACCTGAAGGTTTTTCCTTTGCGTAGTGTGGCGGCTCGAATAGAGAGAATACATAGGTGGTCACGTTGATAAGTTAGAGCAGGTGTTTTCGGAAGCCAGGATTATGTGGACCCCCACCCCCCACCCCCCAAAGTCAAGTCCTGTGCTTAAAGCGCCTATAGAATCCAATGCGAAAGCCTCCAAATCCGAAAACCTGCCTACTAAAAAGGTGCTCATGTTCCATCCGGATGTCTGACGACCATAACCTAGGCTCTCCGAGGGCCACCGGCTTGAACCACCCCACGACCAAAGCAGGCTTTGCTGCCAAGTCACACAGCCCTAAACCCTAAAGTTTAGGCCTGAACCCCTCTAGGGTTTAGGGTTTATAAAACCCTAAACCCTAAACCCAATGCCCTGAAGTCGCCAGAAACCCGACGCTACCGCCCGCACCTCAACCCCGGAAGCCGCAGGCCATACACAAGCTTTCTATCTATTTATCCACAAAACAAACACAAGCATGTAATTATATGTGTATGTATATCTAGCACGGAGCTTCTATAAGACCATGTACTACCCTTCAGAACCACTTCAACGGCCCAAACTAAGCCCAAACCCGGCTTCATTTGCTTTGCAGGATCGAATGGGCTGGCGAGGCGCAGCCCTGTTTTTGGTTGTTTGTGTTGTTTTCTCTTGTTCTGGTATTTGGTTTGAACATTCCTAGGGCTTATCGGGTCTATGTGGTTTAGAAGGTGTATAGAATCTTGGTTTTAGGTTTTGTCGAGTTTTTGATGTGTCAGGAGATGTTGAGGCTTTTAGGGTTCAAAAGGATTTATGACGGTAGTGTTGATGGTGTAGGGCTGTGTGGGGCTTGCAGGGTTTATAGGGTTTAAAAGACCTGCAGGGAATTTGGGCTCGTATGGTTGATAGGAGTTTGTAAGTTTCGTGTTTAGGGTTGGCAACGTGTGTCGATTTAGGGTGTTCAAGATTTTGTAAACCCTAAACCCTAACCCAAAAAAGTTTACAGGATTCAGGGTTTGCAGTTCAGGGCCTTTCACACCCTCAACCCCAATACCCCACTATAGGGGTCGCAATAACTACCCCTATTTTGCACAGTGCTCCTTATTCTTCTTATTGTACGTTTGTAATACGATCAAGTATATCCCGAAACGCGATTCTAACCAGTAGGGTCCCTATACTGTGAGCCCTAAGTGCTGTACCCATAGGCTCCTCAGTGGTTCCTTTTTGGGATTACCTTATAGGATTTTAAAGAATCAACCACAAAAAGGAACTAATGAGGAGCTTATGGGTCATACGACTTTTGGTTCCATCGTCATCTTGCGGATGTTTCGAAGCGAGCGATCGGTTTGGAGTTGAGATTGTTGTGATACTGTCCTGGGTCTTGGGCTTGGCACCATACCCCTAGGGTTTAGGGTTTAGGGTTTATGGGTTGGCCCCGAAGTAGTTCTTACCTTATAGGACTCTAAATATAAACCACAAACAGGAAC